CAACGACAACAACAAGCACCAATCACCATGAATGGAAGAAACTCAAAGGAAGTAGTCTCTTTCACCTACCCACCTAACCACCTACTCACCTACTCAGGCAGCATCGTTTCAACTACAGGTGACTGCACAGATGAGGACGTGAAAGCCAGCCGTGATTGGAGAGACAGCAAGACAGGCCTTCCTGCATTAATCTGAAATCAGTGTGTGTGGAGATCTATTGCACTCATCGCACCGCACTGCACTACACTAGACTGCACTCAGTTCAGTTCAGCTCAGCTCAGCATAAAGTGTGAAGAAGATGCAGATTTTGAACAGTAATTGAGTCAAGTAAGTCGGTGCTTCCATGTGATGGTTGAGAGACTTGGCGCATCACGAAAAGCATTTCCAACATACTACAGACATAGATCATCAACAGGTGCCACCTACACTCACTGGATAGTGAAGATGAAGATCAGATGGATGACGAGAAGAATAAGAATAAGCAAGAAGGAACTCTGGCTGGCAACGAACTAACGAAGCAAGAACCGATCGCTGAACAAATATGCAGGAGATGAAAGTGGAGATGGATTGAATAGGGCATACACTGAGAAGACTGTTTGAAGGCATCACGCGCCCTGCACTCGAGTGGAACGCGTATTGGAAACGATGAGTTTGGTGTCGGAGGTGGGGGTGAAATGGAGGAGGTTATGTGAGGAAGAAATGAAAGGTTTATGTCAGTTGTGGAGCTAGGTTGAAAAGACTGTAGATAAGAGAGTGAAATGGCGACGTGCTGCTTAGTCCCTATTTTTCATTAGGAACCGAAGAGACAATTAATAATAATAATTGTGTAATAAGTGAAACGATGTGCATGCTTATTTCAGCTGCTGATTTTTTTCTGAGTTAACCTGAATAATTTACTTCAGTGTTAATTTGATCAGAAAGTGTAGCTGATAAGTTTGATCACTGTTGGAAATATCTGGGTGTTTCTTGACTGAAATCGATAGAAACGCGTAGCGAATTCACAGAGTAGTCTAGAAACCGCCTTGGTGCTTGAACGGAATTGAAATTCTCGCCAGAACTCCGGTCTTGTAGCTCATTTGGTAGAACGGTGGACTGATAACTCGGTGGTCGCTGATTGGAAACCTGCCGTGGCCCAAACTTTCATTTCATCCTCAGTTTAAAGATTCTGTAATCAGTCTCCCTCTCCACCTAGCTATTTCGAATTTTAGAATTGTCACCCTATCCAACTCTATAGTGTCCTTATGGGTCAGTGCGTGCAGAACGATAGCTGAGTTTCCCTATAAATGACTTACCTCAATAGGATATTCATTGTGTTTCGCTAAACTTTTGTGCTCCACTATTCTGACTTGCCGCATTGGCTGTTTTGGCCTACATACATGAGATTTGTCAAACTGGGTTATTTCTTCTCAGTTGGATCTACTGGATCTACGAACTTTCTCGCTGGGTGAGTCTGGGGGTCCAAATACTACACTAACCCTAGCATAATTAAGAACTCTACATAAGATATATCATTTACCTTGTTAATGTGATAATACTTCAGCGATTTGAATTACCTATTGGGCATGTTTCAGTTACCTCTAATATTGTCAGTCCTTCTCTTACCAGTCCTCATCCACTTTTTAATAGAATCCGGGAGGTGCTTAAGAAATGTCTCTTCAATATGCTTCGGTTGCTTATTTTCTGATTTACTAGTCAAATCCTAGCTAGATTACTTTGGCGTTTTATCCAGCCTACCTTGACAGGTATGGGGTGAGATGATGTGGGACCTAAGTATCCATTCGGTGTTGATTTCCTATAAATACTGGTGTCCAAGCCTTCATCTTCTCTCTTGTTGATTTTGTGATCCAACACGGGTAATTCTCCTTCATTTTCGAATTCATAAGTGAATTGGACTGCATATACTATAGAGTTAATGTGTGTGAAAAACTATGGATATACTCTGATTTCAACACCCGTACTACTTTAGTGATGGGCTGAGATGTTCTTAAAGGCATTTGTTCTCAACTATGCATAATTCTGTCTACCACAATCGGGAATATCGGAGATCCCATCTCTACTCCTTCTGTTTGTTTATACATTCTGTCTTGAAAACCGTGGAACTCAGGCACAATCGTATCCCTAGAATAATTTTTTCAATGAAAAATTTAGTTCTGTTGGTGAGTTTATAGTCAGTTGTGAATGGAATATAGATTGGTTGAACGAGATTAGATAATAACGGTTGATTAGTCTATCCATAGTGACACGATATTATTTGGCGCTCACAAGAACGATGTTCTTATGCTATATAATGAACCACCTCAATTAAGTAGCAGCTAACAATATCACATAACTGATCAAGTTCAACCAGGTGGAGCATTTTTCAAGTTCATAATCCATTATTTGTATACACAAAGTAATATGGAAAACACAACATTTTTCATTGTACCACTAGATTATTTGTGGATTTTCCAGATACTGTAGTGAAAATCCTCTTTGTTGTTTAAATAACATTAGGCCTAAAAGAACTTTTATCATTAAAAAAATCTGATCGTTAACTCACATGTGCTTCGCTTACGTTTTGTATATATATATATATATATATATATATATATATATATATATATGCGTCACGATATATATGTGTGAATGATACTATTCTTTCCTAAATCGGTAATATGATTTGACCTTTATAGATTGACCTAAAGATAAACTAAGTATTCATGTAAATATCTAACTTTATTGTGCCCAAAATAATGTATTCAGTCAATTCCATTGTTTAATGTCAAAATTTTACTACGATTAAGGGGAACGAGAGTGAATACAGTGAACTAAACTATTAAGAGATTTAGAAGAAGATATCCATTTGAAGTTAACCCTTTAAAAATGGAGTACACCTATTACAGATAAACTTTAAGTTTGTAGTTAAATAATAAAAAAAAAATTCAGTTTATTTCCAGATGGTTTTATGTTATATTGATAGATCCCATCATATATAGTAGATAGTCAACTGAACAATTACAGAAAATAATGGAGAGTAGTGTATAGTTTCTACATCATATCGTCAAACTCCCGTGGTATACATACCTCCTTTAAAGTTGGGGTTGTTAATCTGAAGTATTTTAATGGTTAGTCTGAATTATTTTCGTATCGGCATCGGAACTTGTTGTAAGTCTCGATCAGGTGTACCAAACACGATGGTATACTTTAACTTTCATCGGTTGTTTTACTACTGATTTTATGGAGACTAAAGTAAAATATCTACTTCAAACGATTAGATCTTGTAAATTTCGACAACTCCATGATGGAATGAAATCAAGTGTTTGTCAACCATGCAGTCTACAGCAAGAAATTACGCTGTGATTTCCTATGCAAACCAAAATATTTAGCGCTCTTCAGTGTTTTTACTCTACATAATAAGTGTTATTGATTTTCCGAAAAAATATACAAGTTTCATCCCTCATTCCTGTTGTTGTTCCCACCCTCTGCTGATATCTGACGAAGGGCTGAAGACTATCTGTTTTGTATCCAAATGAATTATGTTTTTCAAGGGGTATCTAGATATTTAGGCAAGAAAAATTTTTTGCCCGACTGCCATGTGAATTTATGACGCGTGACTACCGCTTTATTGTATTCACACTGTAGTGTGAGGAAGAGGATCGAAATTGTAATGACTGATAAACCAAGCAGTTCTCAGCATGTTAGAAATCAGTTTCTCCATCACCAGATCAATATTCTTGAGTAGCTGTTAAAATCTGCTGCATTTCGAAGCAAGCATTTCCACTAACTGCCAGATAAACTAACCGTATGTCACCTTTGGAATGGCATTCCAACGACTGCTTGGCTATTCAGAGTAGTGAAATCATTATACGACTTCTCTTACCACTTTTACGCTTGCCTGCATGCATTGTACAACTGTTCTTAACGACTTAGACAATGCTTACCTATTGTTGTTTTAAAAAATAATCTACCAATATATCTATTTACCTCCATTATTATTAGTTGATCTTACCAGTATTCGGGATGCCTGACAGTGACATTAGAAATATATTTTTCAGTTGCTGGTAAGAAACAGAGGTGAACATGAACCTTTATGATCAATCACTACTTCTGCTTATAGTTAATTAACACGTCACATAAACAAACGGCTGTTTTCACTATCATTCATCTGATCTGATCGTGTTAATTCTTTTTTGACTAATCAGTCCATAGCGTTCAAATATCGCAAAATACTCTGTAGGCTAGTTATTCACTAATGGGCAGTTTGGTGCGTAGACTGGAAAATTTTTCACCTGAACAGTAATCCACATTTACGAATGTGGGACTTGAATAATAACCTTTGTTTCCAATTCGGATAAATGTTACAGTATAAAGTGACTCATCCACCTAGCTTAGGCTTGTGTAATGAGCTATGAGTAAAACTCGGTGTGTGTTCGCTTATGACACCGCACTGTGTTCCAGGTCAAGTGAGATGAATTCGGCTGCAACAAATCACTTCTATCCCATTTATTGGTACAGTGACCTCACAATCTATATAAAATTCGACAAGATAACTGAAAAAGATTTGTTGACAAAATCAGGATGAATATCTGATAAGAAACTTCACGGAATAGTTCCAAGGAGGATTCATTTCTTACCGTGAATTACTACTGATGATGCTCATCAACCAGAACTGACTAGGTGTAGTAGGAACATGATGGATACACTTAAACATGCCTTCATGAAGACACTGACTGACTGATTGTTGGTCTGAGTCATTTGTAACCTATATGACTACTCCTAAGTGCCACATATCAACTTGTTCGTCTCATCATAGTTAAATGTAGCTTTTCTTCCTATTTTCTTTGTGATATGTTAAATCGAATTGATTTCATTCTCTGCCAGGTTTATTGTTGTTATTGTTACATATAGGTCCTTTTTCACTATAGATAGTGACAGGGGCAAAAGTAATATCACTACTGTGTGGTAGTACTGATATAAAGTTTTAGGTGTTTATTAATTCACTTCCTTCATTTTCCCAATAGGGACTACTCAATGGGACACACGATCTTCAACATCGAACAGTCAGTCAGCTTTGCATAATAATGAAATGGCAATGAAAAGAAATGATTTAAGTTTATTCACATCAAATCCTAATGATTGCGTAAATGATAGTTCTGTGAATACTACTACTACTAATACTACTACTACTACTACTAACTACAAAATGAACACACTATCTTATATACCACCAGGATTAATATCTGTTGTTAATGGTTCTAATTGTTTGACAGTTCGTGCAGTTGGACATTTTTCAATAGGTCATACATGGGGACCATACCTTATTCAGATTGGTTCAGAACTTCGACAAAAGCTTACAGTATTTTCAACACAACATGATCCCGATCTTTTAATTACATTGACTGTGAAAGTGAGCTGAATTATTTTACAATTTTCTTTTCTCTCTACAAAAGTCAACAATTTTATTTATTTCCGAGTTTTGTAGGGATTTATTAATTTCAAGATGGTATTCATCATGGACTGATTTGAAATTTTCAGTGGTTCTCCAAATAATGTCAGCCCATGATGAATGTTTCTTAAAAATAATTTGTTTTTTGTGATTTATGACGAGACTTCCCTAGAGATAAGCATATCACTTAAAATGTTAACGAATTGTTGTCGGTTCTTGGTTTCTTTACCTTACATGATATTGTATTTACGTAGAATGCAACATTATAAGAGATGACGTCGATTTCTGGCTTCAGTTTGACTACATTTCTGAGACTGACGAAGCTGGGTATGCGGTGTTAGCAAGCGGTAATACAGGAAGAGTTTATCTCCAATATTTTCGTAGGTTTATCTTTTATAATCTGAAACCAAAGATGGCATACAAAAATGTCTATACTCTAATTGGTCTAATGGCTGCAATGCTTGGTTTTACGGAAATATTGACAAGTATTGAATGGTTGGGTGCAGATGCAAATATTATTTTCATTCGTCACTGTTTGAGATGCACTGAGGATAGCATATATATATATATATATATATATATATATATATATATATATCACCTGGTCAGCCTGCAACCCAATATACTTGTATTGTCTACAGAAATCCACTTATCTCCCGTTACAAACATCTGAATATATAAAGTTTATTGATACTATTCAGATAGGAGAACAAGTGGTCACGTGGTTTTACTGCTAGTCAGCTGGACATCACACAATCACATCACAACCTTCAGCTCATTAAACTAGTGTTTTAACTGCCTCACTGTCCTACGGCTGCATTAAATATTCTGTTTTCATCTATATGTGCAAATACACTCCAACAAGTGAAGTAACATTTCATAAAATCACAACCGGTGAACATTCTTTTACATTTAGTAAGAAGCACTTATTTTTCTGAACCGTAAGTATGAACGAAAGATGTCTTGAATTTCCGTTAGAAACTAAGTGATGGTTTACCCTTTTGTCTTAGAAGAAAAATCTTTAATAGAGAAGCAAGATATGTCAGTTATCATCTGAGTCAGCATCAAAAAGGAGACCGAATGGATAGAGTATTTTAACAACTTGAATGATGAGACAAAAACTCTTGCCTACAAATACTTATTCTTTGAATATCGTTGTTATTTCACCTTAACAATTATTCGTTAGCTTATTAGCTTTATTTAGACAACTGAAAGTTAGCTAAAATAAGATTAGCTCTTCATTACTGATTCTTCTATATTGTTCTGTTGTGAACTTTGTACACTAAACTTGGATTCTAAGTTTGACTGTAAAACCAACAACTTTACTGTTTTTAACATATAATTTACACTTTATTCCACTAACAGATCTCCTAAAACTTTATGCTACATATTGCATATTTTTCAGTAACTTCTTTTTAGTATAATCCACTGTTAAACAATAAACCATCTGTTACAGGTTTAATTTCCATGATGAAAATTACCTGCTTAATATTGTTTGTTTGCCTTGCTTTCGATTTCAGGGTAAAGATACTAATCAGGAAAACTCAAATAGCTTAATTGTTGGCGAAGAGCACACTTGGATTAGAGTTATACACGAAACTGGACTCCGTTCTGACAAAAATGATTATAATCTAGACATTTTGGTCTATCGTAAGTAATTAAACTAATTCTCTGTTTAAATTTATCTATGATATAATTATACAATCTTATCTAGTGTGTTTTCGATTCCAATAGAGACTTCAGTATACTTTAGTCATAGGAAAATCAAAATGTACTAAATTCATATTGATGATTAGCAATGGAATCCGTAACCCACGTTTCGTCCTATTTGAGACTCGTCAGGAAGTGATAAGTATCGAAGTAACAAGACGTATTAAAGTGCGTACGCAGTATAGTTCATCTAATGAATCTCAACCATAGGAATGTACAGTATATAAAATTATATCAAATGATACTTGTTGTATAAGTTTATCTATTATCATTTTGACCATCTGAGGTAGCCGTGATTTGGCAGACTTGTATTGGTACCGGGTGGTGATTGAAGGTGAAACGACAATCTGAGTTACAACGGGATTCGAATCAGCCACCCCCCGGGTTTCTAACCCGGTGCTCTGCCACTTATTTATGTCAAATAACTGGAATATCAACGATTTATATCTGCCTAGTGTACACCCAGCTTGAAGTCATTTGATCGATAGTGTTTATGCCAAGATTTTGTGCAGTATATAGGTCATATGATATCTAAAATGACGGCGTGTTTTTTCTTTCCAGGACTGCCTTATTACTAACTGGATAGATAAGTAAGAATAGCCATAGCGAATTTACAAGGCCAATGAAAGTGCTGCTAGACTTGGGATTCTCAGAAAGTGGTCACCCCTGTTCATTGCCATCAAATTCTAACGATAGCCTCTGTTTTTTCTCGTTTTAACCGCGTATTCAGACAAATGCCAGACACTTTAAGCAGCAAATTAATATATTTTTACAGGTAGCTTTCTGATGTGAAGTTTGTCCCAACTCTAGGAGGTACACTTTCGTTCGCATATTTCAACGGTCAAGTTTTCATCTAACTTCTTGAATCAAATGCGACTAACTCTCACACTCAGATGAACATTCGGTAAGTCAACAAGAATAGATCTCAGAGTCAAACGTTGACTACATACACGTTTTCTATCATGCAACTGATACTTTTAAACTAAGCGCCTACATCTTTTAATCACAAAATAACAACTTTTCAAAGAAGATAGAGCAATGGATTGATTTTATTCGCTGTTGTGTTAGTAATAACTTCCTCCAGCCATAAATAAAAATTTAAACATTTTATTCGACTAAATTTTTGAGGGGGTTGTGAAGATTTGGAAATATTTCAAGTTGTTATTCATCGAAGACTGATATCAGTTGGAGGAACAAAGGAAACCTGGGAGCACTGGACAGCTGTTTCGTCCTAGTATGGGACTCGTGAGCAGTGCGCACCCACGACCCCACCAGCAGGGATGGAACCCGCGACCTTCAGGTTCCTTCAGGAGTCCCATACTAGGACGAAACAGCTATCCAGTGCTCCCAGGTTTCCTTTGTTCCTCCAACTGATGTCAGTCTTCGATGAATAACAACTTGAAATATTTCCAAATCTCCACAACCCCCTCAAAAAAAAAATTTAATTGAACTCATGCTCACTGGTGACTAGCTTCGAGAAGTATTCCCGAAGTTCCAATGACAAGTCGTGACCGGTGGAGTCAAAGCCTGATGGCCGTGAGGACAAATACTCAACGATGACATTGGGTGGTGGTTTGCGCTATATCGTGAGCTAACAGAAGTTGGAAATAAGGAGCATTGGATTGTGACCCAGTGACTCAATGGTAACGCGCTGGTCGCGGAACCTGAAGATCGCGGGTTCGATCCCTGCTGGTGGGGTCGTGGGTGCGCACTGCTGAGGAGTCCCATACTAGGGCGAAACAGCTGTCCAGTGCTCCCAGGTTTCCTTTGTTCCTCCAACTGATATCAGTCTTCGATGAATAACAACTTGAAATCGTATTCAACGTTATAGTGTCATAAAAGACCCTTTAACAGAAAGAAAAGTTTCTCATTATGCTTATTCATAAATAGAAGTAAATGTTAGTCCTATTTTATCAGCATCATTATCATCACCATTGTAATCTCGTTTTTAAGAAAAAAATTTAATTTGCACTTGTGTCTTTCGTTTTGTTTTAATATTAATCGATGGAAATTTCAAGACTTACAGCTAAACCACTGCAGTAATCATCTTCATCACCATTGACAGTCTTCTTTCATAGAGATCATTTATTAATGATACATTTATCTTTAAATCCTTTCTTCGAAAGCTCCCATGCTTACATGCATTACAAATATGAGTTAAGGTAGTTGGGGTTGAAGATGATGATGATAGAGATGGAGATAGAGAGAGACGCTGATGGTTCGTGAACGATTATTATGATGATGTTGATGATTATATTGATTATGATTTATGTGTTAATTTTGTTTACCACTCTTTTTACCAATCTTATCTCCTTTTTCTTTCTGTCTTTGTTCTCATCTTATCTGACAGCTATTTTAAAAACAATCACTTTACAAGTCAAATCAGATATTAATCCACAGGACTCATTGATAGGTGTAGTACGTATAGTATCAGGTAAGTAGTGTACCAATCTATCTATATACTCATCTATTCTTTGTATACTGAATAATTTATCACAGCCCTGTTTTTAAAAAGAAAATATCTATATGATATCTTTCTTGTAAACTGGTTCTGCATTAGATACACATATTAGCAGTAATGTACCACTATTACTTCAATCGATTTCTGTATTTCACATTAGCAGGCTGATTAACTTAAAGTGATGACCGGAATAGGCTGATGAGTGAGTGAGTTGATATGTAGAGTGATAAGTTATCAGTGGAATACAAGATTAGTAATCTTTACATTATCTTAATCATAATCATAATACAAACTACAGTGATAATAAACACTTATCTCGTGTATATTGATAGTATCTAAGGACTAAACAATTCTGTGTATCTCTTAATAAATAGAAAGATAACCAGATGATCGGGTGTGATGACTGCTCTCTGGAGTGCATACTTTTAAGATAAGATAAGAAGTGTTTAAATTTCCAGTATTCAAAACACAAACACGGACTATGAACTCTCAGTATAGGTAAGTCATATTTTCGTTCTCTTTGTCTCTCACCGGTTAATCTGAGTTAAAGCAGTTATTACTTAGTTAGGAGTCAAATATCCCTCCATCGTTCAATAATGTGACTGAGTGACTGAAAGCCAAAGTTTCAAGTTACACATAGACAGTAATCGTCAATTAAGAAGCATTAATTGACTATTCAAAGTTGGATATAAAAGTAATTCATTCAACAAACAGTTACATATTTACTCAGGGAATTACGTGCGATGTACTGTGCAATAATAACTATTTCAACTGAAACCCGTGACAATGATAAATATGCAAACCAAATTAAGAAGTGAACAATAAAATACTGTGCAAGGAAGATATGACAGATGAAGATTTTAAATAGGTAGTCGTATCAAAATAAGGTCCCATAAAGGTTTTCATCATGAATTGAAATCAGTTGGAGAACTAATGAAAACATGAGAGCAGTGGTCAGCTGTTTCATTCTAGTACGGAGTGTTTTACGGTGAGCAGTTGCGACCACACGAAGAATCAAGCTCAGAACAATCAGCGTAATGCTTACCGATGGCAGTGAATGATCGCCTTAGTATGTTAAGAATTGACAAAAGTAGGAATGTATGCATCATTGGATTCCAACTCACCAGATCAGTGGTAACGTGCTTGTCATGAAAGCTGACCATCCTGGGCTCTATATCTCACGGGATTGTGAGAGCTGAATGAAGATAAGTAACACACTATGACAAAGCAGATATCCACTGCTGCTACATGTTCTGACTGATATCAGTTCGTCATGAAAACTCCCTTCAGTCAGTCCCTGAAAATTATGGTAATTTACTTGACTTTCGCTAGCAGAAGAATCCAAAAGGCGGATTTCGTCCTATGTGGGAGTTGTCAGCTGGATATACCTGGACATTAATGAGTGGTCTTGTTCCACTGAGACCCAAACCTCGTATCCACTGCTTCAAACGGCAAGGCCTTATCCACTAGGCCACAGAGGGACGATAGCCACCTCTTATACAACGGGCATTAGTTACTATTCTTTGCTGATGTGCTTGTAATACGAAGTTTGAGTCTCAGTGGGAACAAGACTACTCTTTGGGGTGCGGGTATATCCAGCTGACGAGTCTCAAATAGGACGAAACGCGCCTTCTGGATTCCTCTGCTAGCGACAGCCAATTAAATTACCACAATTAATATTTAGACAATATCGAGGCATCCGCATAAAAGCCCATATGCCAACAGAAGTCAAATAGTTCGATCCAGTAAAACAACGGAGAATTACATCATATCAATAAATCCCTGAAAATCATTAAGAGAAAAGAAAGTGGTCAAAAATGCGCAAACATGGATATATTCATAAAGTTGCGAAAATGCTTTGGATTCGACCTAGCACACTCATCCTTTTATGGTTCAAGGTCCGAGTACTGAGTCTATTAAGTATATACCAGGCTGCTATACATCAATAGTGAAAACTTTAAGCTCTGAATTTTTGAGTAAAAGAACTATAGGTTAAGCTGAGCAGATTTAGTAGGGAGTTATCAACTGATTACTATCTAAGTCTGATTTCTGGTAATAAGTGGTATAATGTGTAGCACCTGGAATTTGTTTCTGCACATCCATATGATATTACAGTATTCTGTGACCCATCCAAACTATGATGAATAGTCTTTATATCACACTTCTGATATGACTTTTATCTTCAACTTAACTAAATATTTAATATTTTTCCCAACTAGGTTATCAAAAAATATCAGATCAGATTACAATGTCCAGTTGTCATTCTTCTGCTCTATTTAACAATTCAAAATTATCAACATCATCTTCAACTTTATTATCCTCGTCAACTAATACAACTTCGACTGGACCTAAAAGAGATAAAAAGTGCACACACTGTGGAATACCATTTTCAAATCTGGACACCTTAAATGCTCATATGACACAGTATTGTTCTAAAAGACCTGGACTAATTTCATCGACTTCGACAACTGTAATTCAACCGTCAGCATCAGTAACTACTACTACCACTATATCTGACAATTCATCCATCAACAAAAATATCGCTAACAAATTAACTCATAGTCATACGAGTTGTAAGTTACTGTTTTAACAAATCTCCTTCTTTTATTTGTCTTTAAATCATTACGCTCAGGATGTAAATCAATGGGACAAGTAAAAATGTTCTACATGAAACAAATTGCTAATCAGCTTGTGACTGAATGCTGTAGAAAATGATAACTGATTGCACCGTTTAGAGAGAGCAAAGTATGATAAAGAAGAATGAACCACCACCCCGTCAGAAGTGGTGATATTTGCCGTCCATGAATTTGCCGTTCAGGAGCTCGTAGACGGGTAATCTGCCGATCGTTGATAGACAAAAGCATGAGAGTTTAGACAATATCCAAAATCAATGAAATACTATCTAAATATTCGTGTAACATTCTAATATGCTTCGTTTTTCTAAGAAGTTAGTGCTGAATATGTCAACAAGCTTAAAAGATGAGTTCTCAGCGAAATATTAGTGGTCAGAGAACATCAAACAGCCATCATTCTCATCCTAAGCTATAAATCTTTTCCATCACTGGAAAACCGTGGGACATTGTTGTTGTGTTCAGTACAGACAAAATAATCTCAAATCTGTTCAGATTTAGAGTTCTTGGAAGAAAGAGATGAGAGTTATAGTCCCAGATATTTATTAAATATACCAAATAGAACTCGGAAAATAAAATTGGGTGCCAGTGTTTAAGATTTGGTTATAATATGCTTAAATCTAGTTAATATGGCATGAAAGGATCCAGTTATAAAACACAAGACAATCGGTAAGTAAGCCATATTTTAAACACCAGAGTTGAAAAATAGATTCAGTCAAACTGTAGGAAAAAGAATTCCTTTGGACAGCTAATAGACATTAAAAACGATTGATAACGGCTGTTGTACATCAACTAACTAAAATGTACACATAGTTATTATTATTATTATCCTTATTTGTCCTTTAGGTTCCTAGTGAAAAATAGGGACTCAGTAGCACGTCGCCATTACACTCTCTTATCTACAGTCTTTTCAACCTGGCTCCACAACTGACCACAACCTTTCATTTCCTCCTCACATAACCTCCTCCATATCACCCCCACCTCCGACACCAAACTCATCGTTTCCAATGCGCGTTCCACTCGAGTGCATGGCGCGTGATGTCTCCAAATAGTTCTCTCACTGTATGCCCTATTCAATCCATCTCCACTTTCATCTCCTGCATATTTGTTCAGCGATTGGTTCTTGCTTCGTTAGTTCGTTGCCAGCCAGAGTTCCTTCTTGCTTATTCTTATTCTTCTCGTCATCCATCTGATCTTCATCTTCACTATCCAGTGAGTGTAGGTGGCACCTGTTGATGATCTATGTCTGTAGTTTGTTGGAAATGCTTTTCGTGATGCGCCAAGTCTCTCAACCATCAAATGGAAGCACTGACTTACTTGACTCAATTACTGTTCAAAATCCAGATCTTCTTCACACTTTATGCTGAGCTCAGCTGAACTGAGTGCAGTGCTCTGCGGTGAGTGCAGTAGATCTCCACACACACACACACACTGATTTCAGATTAATGCAGGAAGGCCTGTCTTGCTGTCTCTCCAATCACGGCTGGCTTTCACGTCCTCATCTGTGCAGTCACCTGTAGTTGAAACGATGCTACCTGAGTAGGTGAGTAGGTGGTTAGGTGGGTAAGTGAAAGAGACTACTTCCTTTGAGTTTCTCCCATTCATGGTGATTGGTGCTTGTTGTTGTCGTCGTCGGTTGGGTATCTTCATCATCTCCGTCTTCTCTACATTCACTTGAAATCCCATCTTCCTTCGATGCTGTACCTATTCTCTCAACTTGTTGGTTCTCGCCTGTACATCTTCTAGTCAGTCTTACCCTTACTTACCCTTTCGTACTCTTTCCTGTCTTCACTTCACTTCACTTCTTCAAAGGCATCACCCAGCTTCCAGTTGTCAATCACTCGGCATCTTTCACCATCCTCATATAGCATACAGCTGTTGAATGAGGTTGATAAATATTTGTGGCACTGAAGCTGTAGTGTTGAAGCAAGCATCTACCTGCCAACTCACTTCTTTCTCAGTCGACGCTGCCGAATGCCCCCTCAAAGTGTATGAAGTTGAGGTGTAGGTAGAGTGGACTGCCATTCTTTGCTCTCTTCTATCATGATGTGTAGAGTAGTGTTGCAATTTGATCTGCACATGATTTGTTCTTCCTAAATCCAGGTAGCCAGGTAGCCAGCATGTTCTGGTCGTAGTTTCGAATCAAGTGCATCCTTTAATGTCTCCACGATGATGTGGTTTATTAATTTGCTTGAGGTGGACAGGAGTGGATGATGATTCTGTTCTAGTTCTTGCAAAGACTGAGGTCTCCATTATTTGGAAGTTTGACAAGGTAGACCCTCTTCCAATCAGTCGGCAGATACCGTCCTTCATTCCACACCTAATGCAATAGTGGTGTGTGCATGTCCACTGTTGTCCGTGAGTCTGTTCTCAGAGATTATGGTGGGATTCCATGTGATCATGCATCCTGCTGCCTTCCTGCATTTAATCAGCTTTATGACATTCACGACTTCATCTTTTGTCACAGTGTTTCTGTTCACTTGTAGTTGTGTGGCTGGGCTGCTGGTGGTATTTCTCGACGAGTTGTAGGTGATGCGGGTGATCGATTGAACAGCGTTTCGAAGTGTTCAGCCCATCGTTTCCTTTCTTTCTCCTCATCGGCGTAACTAGCTTCCCTTCACTATCTTTCATTGGTTTCATGTGTGCTGATGTCTGTCGGGATACTAACCTGGTTATTTGATACAATGTTGTCACGTCTCTCTCTCTCTCCCTCCCTCTCTGCTCTCCTACCACCAGCCTGTTCCACTTCACTTGTCAGTGTGTCGTGGAAGTGACTTTTATCTTTGCGCGCACTCTTCTTCACCTCTTTGTATAAATGTGGTGGTTTATATGGTGTGCTCACTTCCTCTTTGCCTTCTTCAACATTGCACTACACCGGTTCATCTTCTGCTTCACCATCACCATCAGCATCTTCCTCTCCCTGCTCTATCACCTTTCATGTGTCCATCGACATCCATTGATTGCCTTATCTTCTTTCTTCTTCCTTCTCAATACAGTTATGCAGATTTCTTTCCACATCTCTTTCAAAGTGTTCCAGTGTTCTTCCACTCAGTTTGCTTCAGGGATGTTGCTCAATGTCTCCCATCTTGTCCTGATGACTGACTGAGTGACGTAAAGATGTCCTCTGTAGTTTCTTCCTTCAGTTCACTTTCTGTTCTGGGTGTTCAACTTCAACTGTGGTCTATCACCAACTTCCTTTTTGGCTTCAACTTTATTTATTAGTTTCGTTGTATAAATAATGGTCTACATTTACTTTAGGGTCATTGTCTAAATCTCGCCCATTCTCTGTTCTCATGGTTGTACTCTTTTCATACTTTATGATTTGAAACCAGTGCTTACTGAATTGAATAGAGATTTCGTGGTGACTTCTGCTTCCTGGAATTAAAAATACTTATTAGGAAGGAAATTGTGGAGCTGTATGGTGACGGTAACTTCTTGGAATTGCAGTTTCCCTTTCTATAATTTAATGTATCAAACAATCCTAAGATTCACTGATTGGTCATTGAAGGGTAACCAACTTTATGTTGTTTAGTGCTAGGTGCTCATCGAATTCTATGGATCATTTTACGAGCTGGCCCCTAGATAAGGCAGCTCAGCACCAAGATACACTTTAATAGATATTATTTGGATGGAGGCAATCTGGGGGAAGCCCGGAAAGTAGGTTTCGTGCTTTTTGGCACTCGTGAGCAAGGCGTATCTGCTACCTCGACGGTACTCATGTCTTGCCTGAGATTCAGACCCGCGTCCATCCAACGAATATCTGTCAAAGTGCATCGTGATGTTGAGCTGCCTAATCTTGTAATGAGCTTGAGAAATGAACACTTAAGACTAGACAACGTGAAGTTGGTTTCCTTCCAGTGATCAGTCAACTTATCTAATCCAGTCCTACAGAAAGTAAGTCGTGGCCCGAATAGCCCAGTGGTAATGACTCGGGTTCGGGTCTCAGGCAGGACATCAGTCCCGTCGAGGTTGCAGATGCGCCATGCTGATAAGTGCCAACAAGTAACAAACCTGGATTCAGGGCTTCTTACAGATTCCACCCCTCCAACTAATCCTAGGATTCAATATACAGAATTTGTAGGATAAACAGACCATTTAGATCTCTCTTATGTGTTTATGACTTAGATTCAATTTTTTCTGAAATTCATATTTGATGTTCTTATCTTTAGATTACCGTTTTCAATTTTTCAAACTCAGTATTTTAAAGCTCTAGGTTTTGTGTATTTGAAACATTTTGCTACACAATGGTGATAACAACCATCTAGTTATCAATAAATGCTGAACGGTATTGATATTGCCTAACAGTTCTTTTGGTTTACTTACACATCTTGTTGCGTCAGACTAACACTTCTGCATCACAGTTTTCGAAACTAGTTGGAGCGGCCTTCTAAAAACCAGGCTGCAATGCTCCAGTGCTACTCAGTAATGTCACAACTAAAACTATCCACTTCCTTAAAAAGTATGTATAGATATTTGTCGTATGATTGTGGTCAGTAAGAATCACTATTTGAATTGAACTTCTTTCTTTCTGATATTCGTCTGCCACCTCGGAGAATTTAATGTGCCCTCATAAATCCGAAACCATGTCCTCAGAAGTTCCAGTCTCAGATATTACCACTAAGCTGTTGTGATTACAGCTGACCTCCAGTTAGATAAGAATAGATACGTAAAACTGCAGTACTGAACTGTATGAACTCCGATCTCTGAGAAGGTATAGGTTTTCTTGAGGTATGAGATATGCTCCGTTGACGAGTGCCGACAAGTGTGAAACCTGGATCAAGTGGGGCTTCCTACTGACTGCCTCTAAACAACTATCTTAAATTAAAATGCACCATGATGACAAGTCTCCTAGTTTGATGACCGTACTTCGAAATAATCGGTAGAATTAGGTCAACACTAGAGGCTAGACAACATGAAATCGGCTTTTCTCCAGTAACCTATATGTCCCATATGCTAGGTGAACAGACATTTATCTGCTCCATCATGATAGGTTGGTTAAAACAAAGGACAGCCATTTTTAAAATACATCATTAATATTAGTGCTAAGAGGCCTTTTATGTAGCTGTCCAGCGCATGCTATATACTACTTTTGTGTAAAACTTTATTCTGACTTTGTGCACTGTTTATATTTCTTAACTCTGACACCACCTCATTTTATTTTCTCTCGGCTGTGTTTTTCCCCTCTTCTCTCCATCCTCCTTTTTCCTTCCCTGTTTATCTATCTCATGCCAACCCCAATAATTCTTGTTCTCCATATCTACTTTTCTAATCCAATCTTGTGTGGACTCGCCTTCATCATCTATTCGATTGCTTATCTTTACTCTTATCTCTTCATGGCCTCATTTTTTCGGCTTATCAATTCCACTTATCTCCTGTTTCCTTGTCTTATCTTATCTTTTTATTCGCGTTTTCTCAGATTGTTTGTTTAGATAAGTTTTTATCAGATAACAATTTTTTCCATGACGAAGAATGTAGGTTTGTGCGTGTGTGCGTCTGTGTACCTATTTTGCATGTTTACACAAACATGGTGATAGATATAATGAAATGAAGGGCCGATAGGAAAAGAAAGAACGATGGCTTGTAAGGGAGACACGGAAAGGGAGGAAGAGATAGAGATAACGAGTAGTCATAATGGATAGACGGATTAGTTATCTTATCAGTCTACTGTACAAAACAAACTCCTGTGAAATTTTTTCTATCTCAGTGAATGAATACGCAAAGATGAACTGTAGTATAACATTTTGACGTAGGTTGAAGTCAGAATTACACATGAGATGTCTTAAAGTTCATACTCAAAAATTAGCCATTACACCAATCTAATGTTGTTGCTTGTATGATAATACAAGCAATAACATAGAAACTATAACTGTTGCACAAGAAGTGGCTATCGTGACTCGGTGGTCTAGTGAATAACGCTCCGCAGTTTGAAACTATCGACCTCGAGTTCCATTCCTGTTAGGAACAATATCGCTTACTGGGAGGCAGGTACATTCAGCTGACGAGTCTTAGAAAGGACAAGTCGTGCGTCCTGGATTCCACTGCTATTATCTACCATTGACATTACATAGATCTGTTGTTGCTTTCATTCTGATCATTGTCACTTTGTTAGTTTGTTATTGCTATGACGATAAATCTTTCATCTCTTACATTACCTGGTGGTGGTTGGTTCGAATACTGCCGAAGCCTAGACTTTCATTTCACTCGCAATCGCCCCGGTTTCAATACAAGTCTACCGAACCATGGCTCAGATAGTCGAACTGATAATCAATATAATGCTTCCACTCTCTAATTCAGCTCGATTTAGAATGAGATAAGGAGTTCTGACCCGACAGCTAGTGTGAGTGCGACGAAGTGGTAGTCACACGCCACGAATCCAAATGGCAGTCGGTCAACAGCCATGTCTGTCAGCTCAGTTGGTACAATACTGAGCTGGTGATCAGGAAGTAGCTGGTTGGAATCCTGTTGTGGCCCAGATTTCTACTTTACCTTCAAATGTTTCCCAGTACTTTCATTAATATCAAGGACGATACTTTGTTCAAAGTGTAAACAGTGTTCTACTAAAGAAATAGAGAATCTCTTTGATTTATTGTATTTTAATATTGTTGTAAATGACTGGATACTCTTCAGATTTATGGAATTCTTTCATGATTTTTTTTTTAGAGAAGTTAAAATTCATGTTTTGTTTCCATTTCAAGTAATCACCATTTGGATGTATTCGTCTTTTTGGTGTCAGCTCCAAATCCTTTTAAACACAATGTGTTAAAAAAAGACCAAAACTCCCGTGAATATCCATAAACAAAGAGGGGTTCAGGTCGAGTAGAATCATGCTTGAGAAAAGATAAGAAAAGTGAAATTTCGATGCTGTGTCGATCGATACAAAATCCCAATGACAATATGAGTAGTAAAGTGTAGTCAAGGAAATAAGGCAGCAGTAGTTTGAGACAATGTGAGACGACTCAAAGTCCATTGGAATCTGGGTGTAGTTACTATTCATACAAACTTTTAAACAGTTGATTAATTGCTTACACACTGTGCTCATTTTTTTTCTGATTGCTATGTTTCAGTTGTGTTAATTTTACTCTTCAATTATTAGGATAAAGTGTCAATTTGAATTGATATACATATCTGTAAGATTATACTTTTTCACATCTACCTCTGTTTTGATTCATTAAGTATGAACTGAAGTGTACCCAAAATTAGTCTACTAGTGTTTCAATGAAAATAAAGTTGTTAACATAGAATTTTATCAAATACTAGCGATATAATTTGGTCTTTGACCAGGAGTTACTTTAAAAGCCACTCTAATAACTATTGAGATAACCAATTAGATTTCTCTATTTTATAAAATAAGCTACCTTTCAGGCCGAAATATCGAAACCTGGTTGGTTATTTCAGAAGTTGCTAGGGTGACCTTTAAAGTCACCTGTTTTACACGTATTGTCACGTGTATTGTCACATAGTAAAATAATAGTGATTTTCGATGTATTTAATTCTTTAATATTTGACAGTAATTGATAATCCATTATTTTATGATTCATAGTTGTATCATAACTTGACTAATCTCTTCTTTCAAGTTGTTATTCATCGAAGACTGACATCAGTTGGAGGAACAAAGGAAACCTGGGAGCACTGGACAGCTGTTTCGTCCTAGTATGGGACTCGTGAGCAGTGCGCACCCACGACCCCACCAGCAGGGATCGAACCCGCGACCTTCAGGTTGATGTCAGTCTTCGATGAATAACAACTTGAAATATTTCCAAATCTCCACAACCCCCTCAAAATTTAATCTCTTCTTTGTATGTTTTCAAAAAAAAATTAAATTTAGTCCAACGACAAAATTCCTCACAGTCGTTTAGAACCAGTCCAATAGGCTTCAATTCTGTGGGGAATGTAACTAGCCCAACCCCCGTTCCCAGATATGGAACATTAGAAGAAGGTAGTGTTACAGAGTCAAATTCTTTGAATATCCGTGATGCATCTGTATTCGATCCTGCACAAATCAGTAATTTGATTAATCCTGCACTGTTAAATTTATTTGGAGTTAACGATGGGACAAATATCTATCAAATGTTTCAAAATCCATTGGCTTCTTTCATGCTTCCAATGATATCACGTCTTATCCCACAAACAAACCTTGATACAACAGGAAATGTATCGAATTTCACTACTCCTGTAACCAACTTATGCCTTAATAATCCATTATCTCCGACATCGTTAACTTCTTTGAAACACCCATCGCCAACATCAGATAAACCGAAGAGTAGTAATCAGTCATCCGAGTGCACAACTTCAAATAACTGCTATGACACTCACTTGAGTTCAACTACTACACCTACTCTTCAAAATAATATGATTAGTAGTTTGACGGATTACCAAAAACCAAGGATTCTCTTTTGTCCTAACTGTCAACAGCTGTATACATCTCAATACCTTTCGACATATACTTCAAAATCGAATAATGAATGTGAATCTTCTAGTCGTATTTCATCTGAAATATCTTCAGTGAATCAAAATATTGAAAGTGTGGATAATATATCATGGAATTTGTCACAACTCTCAGAGGCTGCTCATCGATTTGGACTAATTCTAGCTGTTCCATTAGTAACAGCAAATGGTTTGCAATATATTCCTGTTGATTTGTCAACCAAACTTATAAATGATTATAGTTCAAAAAAACGCCAGCAATATAGTAACAGTGATAAGAATAGCCTGGAAACGGCGAACAAAAAAAGACAATATACCACACCAAATTTATTGTCTGAAGTTACTAACGATTCATTAAATCCTGTAAATATCACTTCTCCTATTTCATCGTCTTCTTTTTCAACAAACCATCCGAATACTAAACACGTTGATACTTTGATACCTCGGTTAAATACTCCAAATATTCTAGATTTATCAATTAACCCATCTAATACTCAGATGCTCAATCCTTTTGCATTATATAATGCTATAAATGAATTTAGAGGTATTCAGCAACAGCAACAATCACAGCAAAATTACCATCCATCTCAGCTCTTTCCACAGAAAAGAAATGATGCTTCTGATAATTCACAAGACTTTAGCCATAGTGCTTGTTACACACGTCCTTCAACCGACAGTATATCACCACCTAAAATGTTGAGTAGTTCAAATGGTATACATAACAACCATGTGTCTATATCAGACAATCAAAAGTCGAATGATAATAATAACACAACGGATTGGCAATTACTTCAAGCCTTTTCACAGATTTTATCGTATACAAATGAATTATTGTCAAATTCACAGACGACACCTTTCTCATTCAATATCAATCAACTTTTATTTATGTTATATGCTTCGATAACAGCTAACTCGATAAATGTTGCTGGACAGCCGTCACTTAATTTCAATCCAACAAATACTGGACCTGTTCCAGTTACCGATCCAAGTACTGTTTCTAGTACACCGATAACAAATTTAGTTGGTACACCTTGTTCAATCAGTGGCCTTAGTTGTGATGCCGATAAAAATATGGACAACTGTGAGAACAGTGTTACTCCTTCTGATATAGCTACTACTAGCAGTATTCATAGTAATATTTACAAAAGATATTCTCCCTTATCATCTGTATCACTTCCATCAATATGTATAAACCCGTTGATTCCGTCAAATGATCAAATAATTAGCACATGTAGTAGCAGTAATTTACAAAACACATTCCCTATACTTACAACACCGATGACCAATACATCTGCCGGTGTTATTACAAAAGCAGCTACCAATTTAAGTCAAGATCTAAACTATTCATCCCCTTCGGTGACTAAAATGGATATGAATGTAATCGGTGGTATTCTTAATAATGATCATAACAACAACAACGCCGGTAACATTAGTTTCAATCAGTCGGCAGTCGTTAATATACTCCCAGCTCTAAAACTACTAGGATCAATATTTCCGCATTTTTCAACTATGGAAAACCAACAAGAATTACATGCTCAACAGACTCCTTCTGAAATAAATACTAACTCGAAACAGGTAAAACTACCACCTACTAGAAGTGTAAATAATGAACAACTAACCAATCCACCTACATCACCACAGCCAGCGGTTTTCAGACCATATCTCTGTCGATTTTGTCAGACACGTTTTCTAGCATTTCATACCTTCCAGGTAAGCAATGTATTTAATTTGTGTTAACCTACATTTATATATATTCCTGTTAGATTATGTGTAACTCTAAGCCATTTTAGATTAACAGTATTAATGAACCTCCTTTTAACTCATAATTTTTATTTAATGTACTGTTTAGGGGTGAAGCAACTTGAATTTATGTTGACTGATCAGTTAGCCGTCAAGCTGAGATATTGTTGATTATAAGGATTCTCATATCTGACTTTTGACTTCAGTTATCAAAACTCATGGAGATACTAAGCAGTCAGTCATCTGTAAATCTATGCCTGTTAACTTTAACAGTAGATAAAATGATTCATTTATTGTCGTTGGAAAGAGCTACAATTCGACTGCCTGATACTTAAATGAAGATGACGCAAATCACACCATTTGTGAGTAAAACTAACTATAGAAGTTAGTGGTGAATTTAAAAAAACCTAATACAGTCTGAATTTCAGCCGAGCAGTCTACATATTTTTGAAAAGCTCCTCTTTTAGATGAAGTATGAAACCTATTTACTAACACTATTTCAGTTTCATTGTAGTAATCCAGTACTGTAATCCGTATTTTCGTCAAGCAGATAAATTAATCCATCTCCTCTTCAATACAGCTGACATCTCGTGTTCGAACTGATTAGAATGATAAATAGACAGTAGCAAACTCCTCTTGTATACTACAATTACCTACTACACATGGACCTGGCCTAGACTTATCTTATCTTCTAACTAAAATTCAGTTTATAGTTTGAAGAGGTTGACTGATCTCAAAGGAGGCTTCCATCATGGAGTAACAGCATTTGAAAAACTGTTGAAAAATCTATAAACACTGGACATCTGTTTCGTTCTAGTATGGGACCCCTCAACGACACAATCCAACAACAACAAACTCGTTTAGAAATAGTTGCTTTTCAAGCGTATCGTTTCAAACGAAATTGGTCTGGTCCACTAAAATGATTTTGGCATAGTTGTTGTGCAACTATGTATTGTGAAGTATGTTTCACTGAAATTTCCTAGGGGCAGTATAACTTGATATTCAATAATACAGACTGTGAACTTTTAGTCAGATCGAAATCTCAACCTCACTCCTGAATTTTCGAATTTAATCAGATATGTACTTTCATCTAGATCACTACCGTAAACGAGAAAGTCTAAATATTTACTTTTTTGTACTAACAATTTTAACACAACATATTATTCCGATGTCTGACGTCTATTAGAGATGAATTGGGGTAAATCGATTGATAGTTCACTTTTGAGGAGTTTTTAAACTGAGCAATGTGTACCTTCAAACCATCGCTTAGAGTCGCACAACTCTTTTAGTCATAACGTTTCAACGCATATTAGTAAATAATGTGTGAATATATCCATATATTATATCACTTAAATTATTAACACACATTTATCTAAAGCAAATATAGTGTATGAACATTCATTTAGTGATAGGTATCATACCGATGCAAAGGCAAAGCCAGGATACAGATAAACTAAGAAGACTGAGTAGACTCTTTCATGTGAATGAGAGAATCTTTTTTCAGTTGTACTGTTTAAGATAATCCTGTCTGCAAGAACAACTGAATTTCACGGGAACAGTGACTTTGTAAGCCTGGGTTATGTTAGAATTTGAACCTCTAACCACCTGTAGATGATCCCTATTGCAGACAACGCAGTCGGTCACTTTACGTAATTAAGTCCTATTCAAACTAGGAGAACATGACATCAATTGTCATCAATTTAAGCATTGTGACTGAAACTTTTCTAAGTTGGCCTCTAAATAGGAAAAATACACTCCGTTTACATGATCATATCAGGAGTAACCACCAATTCTTTGCTTAGTCAAAGGTATTTAAAAGGATAAATGATAAAAAATTGAATGATCCACCACCATTCAGCAAATTAATCTACGTCAATAGACAATTGACCATCACAGAGTGAAAACTGAAACCATTTTATACTTCTTACCTTGAATTAAGGTTGACTAAGCTTTAGCGTACTTAAAAATGGATTTTAAAAAAATCATTCTTACCTGTGACTGCGATGAAATAAATGTTAGTCGTACAGAGACGAAGTGACTGATATATCCACCAACTCGGGGTGAAGCAAATCAGTTTATCAATAGTCTCACCTCATACCATTTTTGACTATCTGTGATATGATAACGTTTGCCTTATTTTCAAGTTTAAGACACGACCATTCGGTTTTTATCCCCATGTTCAAATATAAACTAAATATGCGGTTATTACAGCAGTCACAAATAGCTTAAATATTCTTCATAGGTCTTCTGTCTATGAACAGTAATAAAACTTCAGTCAGTTCAATTCTAAAACTGTTACAGATTCTGATACACGAATCTTTTCTAATTAACAGTGAATATCAGTACAATATGTAGCGCATCCTAATTAATTTAGTGTTTCCGATTCGGCTTTTATGTTGAACAAAAGAAGATTGGTATATAATTTCTGTAATCATCAAAAATCTCCTCTCCATATTGTTTGCGTAAATCAGTGAACGTGGATATCCCTTTTTCTTAGTGCAATAAATATTATCAGCGGTTACAAATATTACTCCTTACCAATTGCCAAGTCATCCACCTCCATACTTTAATCATTGCTTGCCTCTTTACCTTTTCGTGTATATTAGAACACATACAGATAGAAATACTAAGAAATATTTTGAAGATTATCCAAAATTCTTATATTTTGAACATGTGTTTCACATCCGATGAATTTTTGTTATTGCGTCAAGAGAATTTTCTCGACGTCTTTGTAATTATTATTGCTGTTATCTTTATTATGATTACCATTATTATTATTGTTATTATTATTACTGGAGTTATTTCTTTGCGCTAGTGATTGCTACGCCAAGTGGTTTGATGTGGTGAATTTTTTCTTCTGTATAGGTTACAAGTTACCTATTTATTTATCTATTTACTTATTTATTCATTCATTCATTCACCTGTCAGTTATTTCATCTACTTGATGTTGTTTGTTGAGTCAAACTACCTTGAATCAACCACAACACTATGTATTTTCTAGGCTGATGATGATACGTTTGCTTTTTCTGTCTATTTCCAGTGATTAGATCAACTATTCTACCTTTTCTAATAAATTTGGATAATTATAGTTTTGAAAAAATGCATCTGGATGAAATCTTTCACATGTTCAAATTTTATTACTTCCTTTATTATTTTTTAACTTCACTGTGTGTACACTTATTCACAGTTTCATTTTTATTCGTAGAAAACATTTACACATATAAACATTCTTACACCGATTTTCACAATTCACAATACAAGTGTTTACCTTATAGTCTACTCGGTGGCTAGCAGTGAGATCCAGGACGTATATTTCGTCCTATTTGGGGATCATCAGCTAAATATACACACACCTCGGTGTGTGAAATTGTTCCCACTGAGACGTAAACCCAATAGCCATCTCTTCAGACGCCAAAGTTCCACCCACTAGGCCACTAGAAGATCTGTAGGAGCTCATCTCCCAACAAGTCTTTGATTTTATAGCTGGTACATCTCCGTCATTAAGTGGACTGAAGCGTTCGCCTACTACTGACATATGGGCTCTTGTACGTATGCCCCGAAATTGCCGGCATTTACATTTCTACAGGTTTATCAAGCTATATAACAGATATAATGAATTACATTGTAACTAGTAAATTGAATTGTTAGGTTTCAGGGAAGAGTAGGTTTATCACGTGTTTGAAAGCAGTCGACAGTTAACTGTGAGTCAAGATTTTATCCTTGTTGACAGCTACGAGCAATGATCATCATTGCTAAGATAACTTTTTGTCAAATCATTCTTCAAATTTGGCATCATTCATTCCTCTTCTAACGGTATTGTTGGTTATCATGGATGATTTTTGGACTAAGGGAAAAAAAATAAAGGCTAAGACAACACTTAGATGTTTTACTCTTAGGTAGTGGAAGTCAATCGGCAGTTAGTCCTGAACGTCGAATTTTGTCTTTGTTGGAACTCGTCAACCATGAAGTAACTGGTATCCCCTCAGTTGTCTGAACCTGGGTCAATCAGTGCTGTATTTCGAGAATATGCTGTTGGGCCCACGATAGACCGTCTTTAAGACTGACTAGATTCTGTACACGTGAGTTATTCCTTGGTGACCAACTCGTGTACCCTTAAATAAACTGGTATGAAAGATTGAAATAAAACTCCGTTGTACGTATACATACATGTTTGTAGTCGATTAAGTGTTGAAATCAATTTCATCTACATACAGATATGCAGAGTATATATTTCAAAAACTTGATGAATACAGGTAGTATTATCATTTATTAATGGATATTTTTCTGTATATTCAATAAAATGATACAGTATTACCAACTGAAAAAAAATTTCGGTTCACTTATTGAACTCTCATGTATACACACACATACATACATACAAACTCCTAAGCATACATCTATCCAAATAAATACATTCCTTTGGGATTACTTTCTGAAGTAAAGGAACATGCCTGATAAGGAGACAGAAGAAAAAGCCCTTCTTGTTCCACTAAACCATATAATGTAGATATCTTGTAATCTGTTGTTGAAATGAAATTACATTCAACTGTATCACTAACTATAACTTAAATAGATTGATAATCCCAGTAGAGTAGGTTGATCACTTTATCAAATGTAAAGATGATATATGATATGTGATATATGCATATTTATCTAAATTTTATGACCAAATTCTGATCAAAAGATATCTGGTTAGGGATCACTTGAAGTAATTTAACGGCCAGCTTTTCTTTTCTTTTTTAAAATTTTTTAATGAAACAGTGATATGGACAGGCAGATAGGCAGAAGTTGTTTTTACATTTTCGAACCATGTGATAGTTTTTTAATTCGACAAAAAAGAAATGTCAATACTTTATGTTACTGAATTTCATTAGCCACTTCTGAGATGTATTAATCGCTAATTTGTACAGTTTATGACGAAGTCCCTATCCTTAGAATATTTGTGTGTCGCTAGTTGACATCGATTAGATAGCCAACCAAAACCCAAAAAAGAACTGGATATGTGTTTTGTTCTGTTTTTGAACTAGTTAACTTCGTAAATTAAGAAAGCACAGTTTCATCTCCAGTTTCATGTACTGTGCTGTGAGTTGAAAATATCGTCTAACTTCCAAATGTACGTAGACAGAGTCGCTCTAAATTTCATCACCCATTGGTTGAAAGTCGGGTGTTCAGTCTATCAGTTATAGTTCCAGAGTCGGGATGTTTTGCAGCGGCTGGTGTTTGATTTTTGTTGTTCTATTGTTACTAACAAATACTATTCTAACTAGCTAACTTACAACTATTATATTCCTAAGTTGACAGGGTGGGGAATGTTCACGGTCGTGACCTCGTCCTCGGTTTTCTATTGGGTCTTACTATTAACGGACCAATGCAAACGTCTAACCCTTGTCCTAACTGGTAATATGCCCCGTGTTGCTACGTTCAAGTTGGTCCTGCAACCAATAACTTCACAGTAACTGACCCAGAGGGAAGATGAAGTTAGGAGTGACTTTAAAGTCCACCTCAACAACTCCTGAGATAACAAATCATGGATTTTATGTTACGAAAAAATTACTCCTCAGCCCAAACATCGAAATTTGATTGGTTATTTCAGTAGTCGCTAGGTTAACCATCCGATTCACTGGAAGATAGATGGTTGGCCCATATAAAGCACAGCTATATTATCTATTGCAAAATATGTCGAAAGTTTACAAGTTCTTAAAAGCGTAAGCAGGCTAATCATAACATCAATGAGTGAGAACAAAGATGATCGCGTAGGAAGATTCGTAATCGACTGATTGTTGCTTTCATTCTTTCTGGATACGGATACAATAACAAGGGACTTATCAATTAACTTCATCTAAATAGATAACAGCAGGAATGTACATTTTTATTTCTGGAAAACCGAATATAGATATTGGACAGTGTTCTTAACTTTGATGATGTTGAATGTTGATCGCTGAGTAAACGTCAAAAGGTTGTCCAAACACCTTACTAACTTTAAGTGTATTCCTGAAAGTTTGTGAGCACAGGTTGATAATACAATTTTCCATGATCTCCGATAAAAACTGCCTCAACAAACATTATTTAGGTCTCTCTTACATCACCTAATTACTAAATAAGGATTCGAATAAGGTTCTGCCATATTATTCAACTAATCAAATCAAAATAAGGATGATCATTGTGGGTCGAGTCTGTTGTCTACTTTGGCATAGTTTTTGGTTATTCTTTAAAATCTGTATTCTGTCAATGGTTATAGTGTTAATAATTTTCGGTTTCTGCAATGTTATCAAAATGTTATTTCTAGGCCCATCAGCAGTTTTACTGTCAAAGACGAAAGGAATTAATGAAACAACTCCAGACAACCACAGCAAGTTCCGTCACATCACAAACCTCACTTTCCCCTGGTGGTTCTACTACTTTAAACTGTCCAATAAACTCTGGTCCATCAGCAAATAAACGTCGTTGTACTACAGCTGATAGTGTTTCATCCAATCAACATCAAACAACTGGAAGTGCTTTAACAAATCAGAGAATTTCAGCTAATTCATCAACTTCTAGCAGTGGTGATGAAGCTGAAGGCTTGAAAAATAGCAGATTATCGCCATTGAGTTTGAAATCATCCCCAAATCGCAGTTTGCAAACTTACCAGGATATGAATACCGATTGTGAAACTAACCAGCCTACTTCCACCCAATGGGAGCCTTGTGGAACATCTGAACTACGTTGTTCTGCCTGTGGTTATGTTGGTCAAACACCTCGTGGAATGAAAATGCATAAAAAACTACATGAATGCAACGGTACTGCATCCAAGTAAGTAAAAATCAATTAGTGTTTAAGCCTATACCTCATAAACCATGTGTTAAACAATACTATATCGCTATTATCGTTTGGATCCAGTCAAATTAGATATATCTCAGTAAAACAGTCTTTGCACTAGGATTATCATAATATTCGTTATCGATTATATTGAGTTCGCATTAGCTTAGCTTTATCGCGTCAGCTGTTTTAGTACACCTGTAAAAAGCTAAATTAGGCTTCTGATTTGATAAATATCTTGACACTAAGTGCTACTCAATTGAGGCATATACATTCAAATAGTCTTTCCTAGCTGGTAGTATAAGTGTATGGTATAGAGATGATAGGTCGATTTTCAGATCATATCAATGAGGAATAAAGTTTATTAGCATTAAAGCAACAGTAAAATGAGTATTTTTGCAAACCAAAAATGCTTCTGCATACAGTTTGAGACAACTTAAGGTTAGTTGAGGAGCTTCGAAAAATTGTGGATTAGTGAACAAATGTTTTAGCTTTTCGTGTTCGAATTTGAAAACTATGTTGCACCTTTAATAGATTGATAGGACGAGATAGCATGATGTTCACATTATGAGCGGGTAGCACGTGGTTGCATGCAAAAGTGGCGTGAATGTTAACAGATGAGAACATTTAGTTCTAGAATGAAAGTTGGCAGAAAATGTCAGTCATAGGAGGTGTAATTTGTCGATTTCACCCAACAGTGAACAATGAATACTGACTGAACAACTCGATATTTCTTCAATATCTCTTGAGAAAAGTTATTTCCAGCAAAAAAGCCTTTTTATAACCTGTCTCATAGTAAATCACTAATATTTGTCTTTATCCATTTCCTACATACCATAGTAAACCAAATAGTCTGACTAAACATTCTTTATTTTCTTCGCTAAAGGAACACAAAATCAACATCTGAGATGAAGACAAGAACTGAATTGAAGTCAGAAAATGAAAATCTAATTAACACTTCTAACACAAATCCAATTCTAGGCAAAGATTTCACCTCTACTTCATCGACTGATGTGAAAAATCCACATGCTAGTTCTAATGACAGTAATTCAGTATTTTCAGATGATCATGTTAAAAAGGAGCAGTTGTGATATTGACTTCCTATCAAACACTTACGCAACTGTTTGTGTTTGTCTTTTGGTCCCGAGGTACTAATCATTTCCTACAGTACCGACTGGACACACAAAGAATTATTCTTATTGCACATATAACTGCATTTTTTTTCAAATATTCTACTGGAATGAATAAACTTACATTCATTCATGCATATATAAAATATTGAAAAATAGTAACTAATTTTACCGTCATTGAAACTTATCTCCTATACTTTTGTTTTTCTCTTGATAAGTAGTTCAGTTTATGATCTTTCCTTTTATGACTATGATCATCATTATTTCCACTAAATTTCTTTCAACTGTATGGTTGATGTTATAGGTGATATAACTTTTTTTGGGGGAAAAAAATATTTTTCAAAGAATAATGTGTAGACCGTTAATTTGCTAATTTTTTTAACTACTTATAAGTAGGTAAGATTTTGTAAGGAATTTTACCTTGACTGAAGTGACTGCAAAACAAAAGGTTTCACCGAAGATTTTTTCGACGACTCACTCTCACAGCTGTACATTCGTACATGTATGAGTAAAATGACACGATATTCCGAACAATTTTCCAGTCAAAAGTTAAACTTAATCGGTAGATGAATAGAAGGAATTAAATGATACTGAGTAACACAAGTCATAGTCTCAATAATCTTCATAAATCATACTGAACAGTAAGATTTGATATGTGGTACAAACCTGCAGAGTAACTACTTAAGGCCACAGTAAACAGAGTGCTCTACATGTTTCTTTTGGTTCCACGATCGAGGTTTGGAGATGTGAACCGCCAAACCTTCGACTGTACATAAGTGTCTGATTTTCATCCCTATTGAGTGTTTTGGTCGAACTTCGTAGCTTAGATTGAACGAGATTTCCAGAGATTTCAGATGTCCAGAGTCTATGAAATTTTCAGTGATGGAGCTGGAGAAGGTTTCGTGCTCACCTTTCATCGACCAGGATGAGCAATGTTATTAAGCGTGTTTTTCAAGTGAGTGCATAATGTGGCCGACATACATAAAATAATGCTGAGGCTTGAAGTGTAGAATTTTTCGACGCATGATGTCCATGATAACTTTCTTTGGAGTTGACTGTTCCACAGTCTTCTTTTCTTTTACATATTTCTCCATAGATCTGGATGGTTAGTTATTCCCCAACAATATTTTTCAGGTGTCTAGTCCTTGAATAAGGTATCATCAGTGAATACCTTTCTTATTCTTGATAAGGGTGAGCGTACAAAACCCCACTTCCTACCAACCAACTTTGAAAATCAACCCGTTGGTCATTCTAAGTATGTTTCCTGTAGATGAAACTTTGAATGGAATTATCAAACCTTCTTTGGAGTTTCACGTCAAGAAAATGAAGCGTCAAGTTTGTTCCAGCTTTCAATGTAAAGTTAACTTAAGGAGAGTTATTGTTGAAATTTTTAAAGGTGTGTCACTATTTATGCTATGAAAAGCATTTTCAGTATGAATGGACTCTAGTTGTTTGTATTAGTTTGCATAGTTTACTGGTAATTTGAAATAAAATATGCTCAAGATATTGAGTATCAAGTTTGGTAGCTCATGCTGGAAACCATCTCAAGAACAAGTTTCTATGCCAAATATAAGCCAATACTCAAAGCGGTCTTGTTTTATTAGGACTGATACTAGATGAGGAAGATGGCTCTGCCATCTCCAGTACCAACTTTACTTACCTGTGACTCGGATGCATTCGAAAGCCCAATTGCAACTCAGCGAATAAATCATCCTGGTCATTTCTGAATATTACACTTACAGACGGATGAAATCAACCAAGTCCACTGTGAAGATAGATACCCGCTGACGACACTACGTTGACTGTGCTTAAACAGAGAAATGAATGAAGTCAGCAGACATAAGCCATTGGATCCCAGAGTAATGAATCCGTATTAGAATGTTCACTAAAACACCTGGTGATCTTGGACGAGTTAATATAAGGGACTCAAATGTGCGTTGCTGAGCAGTCGTAGACTTTTAATGATTGACGATGCGTTATTAAACCAGATTTGAAATTAGGATATCACCGTTTCTGTATCACATAATAAAATAAGTGGATAAGATGATAAATTTATAAACAAAGTGTTAACTTGACAGCCATTCCTACCACCTAGATTATATAAATATAAACCACTATTTATCAAGAACTTAAGTTTGAAATTAGCCGTCTGAAAACAAAGCTAACTAATTTCAGGTTGGTATTCATCATAAACTGACATTAGATGGAGAAACATTAGGGGCACTGGGCAGCTGTTTCACCCCAGTATGGAAATCCTAAGCAGTGCTAACTCACCACACCACAGGGATCGAACCCAGGACCTTCAGGTTACACTTCTACCACATTAATAATCAACCACTGAGTAAGAATACAGTGATTCATATTTCCTAATTTCGTCAGTTAACGATATAACACAACCTTCACCTAATGCTTTGAAAGGTGATTCCGAAGTTCAAATAAGAAGTCATGACCTGTGGGGCTAATCAACTTCGCAGTGAGGACAGGTACTCAAGGACCACATTCGATGGACGTCGCTGTACATAGCGAACTGACAAAAGTAGGAAATATGTACCACTGGATTCCATTCCATGAAAAGTCAGTAACTTATGCTCCAATTTTAATGCTCAAATACAAAAAAACAGTTGACAACATATCTGCAAACTACTGCAGATAAATTAATGAATGATTTTCAACAAAATCGAGGAAAGAAATAATACTAGTCGTCCCTTGAGTTCCTAGTGGAACATAGGGACTCAGTAGCACGTCGCCATTACACTCTCTTATGTGCGGTCTTTTCAACCTGGCTCCACAACTGACCACAACCTTTCATTTCTTCTTCACATAACCACCTCCATATCACCCCCACCTCCGACACCAAACTCATCGTTTCCAATGCGCGTTCCACTCGAGTGCATGGCGCGTGATGTCTCCAAATAGTTTTCTCACTGTATGCCCTATTCAATCCATCTCCACTTTCGTCTCCTGCACATTTCTTCAGCGATCAGTTCCTGCTTCGTTAGTTCGTTGCCAGCCAGCCAGCCAGCCAGCCAGCCAGCCAGCCAGCCAGCCAGCCAGCCAGCCAGCCAGCCAGCCAGCCAGCCAGCCAGCCAGCCAGCCAGCCAGCCAGCCAGCCAGCCAGCCAGCCAGCCAGCCAGCCAGCCAGCCAGCCAGCCAGCCAGCCAGCCAGCCAGCCAGCCAGCCAGCCAGCCAGCCAGCCAGCCAGCCAGCCAACCACACTTCCTTCTTGCTTATTCTTATTCTTCTCGTCATCCATCTGATCTTCATCTTCACTATCGAGTGAGTGTCGATGGCAGCTGTTGATGATGTATGTCTGTAGTTTGTTGGAAATGCTTTTCGTGATGCGCCAAGTCTCTCAACCATCACATGGAAGCACCGACTTACTTGACTCAATTACTGTTCAAAATCTGCATCTTCTTCACACTTTATGCTGAGTTCAGCTGAGCTCAGCTGAACTGAACTGAGTGCAGTGTAGTGCAGTGTGGTGTGGTGAGTGCAGTAGATCTCGACACACACTGATTTCAGATTAATGCAAAAAGGCCTGTCTTGCTGTCTCTCCAATCACCGCTGGCTTTCACGTCCTCATCTGTGCAGTCACCTGTAGTTGAAACGATGCTGTCTGAGTAGGTGAGTAGGTGGTTACGTGGTTAGGTGAAAGAGATTACTTCCTTTAAGTTTCTCCAGTTCATGGTGATTGGTGCTTGTTGTTGTCGTTGTTGCTATAGTTGTTGTTGTTGTTGATGTTGTTGTTGTAGTAGTTGTCAGTTGGGTATCTTCATCACCTCCGTCTTGTCTACGTTCACTTCAAGTCCCATCTTCCTTCGATGCTGTACCTATTCTCTCAACTTGTTGGTTCTCGCCTGTACATCTTCGAGTCAGTGCGAGTTAGACATCAGATATAAATCATCATCATCATCATCGTCGTCCTCGTCGTCGTTGGCGATGGCGGCAGCGGCAGTGGCGAAATCCAAATCTTCTCCACGGGTGTTTTCATCAGTCAAACAGTGTATGCCCACCATCTCATAGCTCCTCACGGTTCCCTGCATGATCCAGTCGAGTGATTCCAGTCGACCACAATCAGGAAGATCATCGATGATAGTAGGCGCCAACCCTGTCTCACGCCTTCCTCTCTTCACTTCACTTCACTTCACTTCTTCAAAGGCATCACCCAGCTTCCAATTGTCAATCACTCAGCATGTTTCACCATCCTCATATATAGCATATAGCTGTTGAATGAGGTTGATAAATATTTGTGGCACTAAAGCTGTAGTGTTGAAGCAAGCATCTACCTGCCAACTCACTTCTTTCTCAGTCGACGCTGCCGAATGCCCCCTCAAAGTGTATGAAGTTGAGGTGTAGGTAGAGTGGACTGCCATTCTTTGCTCTCTTCTATCATGATGTGTAGAGTAGTGTTGCAATTTGATCTGCAAATGATTTGTTTTTCTTGAATCCAGGTAGTCAGGCAGCCAGCGTGTTCTGGTCGTAGTTTTGAATCCATTGCATCCTTTAAGGTCTCCAGGATGATGTGGTTTATTAATTTGCTTGAGGTGGACAGGAGTGGAGGATGATTGTGTGCCATTCTTGCAAAGACTGAGGTCTCCATTATTTGGAAGTTTGACAAGGTAGACCCTCTTCCAATCAATCGGTAGATACCTTCCTTCATTTCAGACCTTATGCAATAGTGGTATGAGCATGTCCATTGTTGTCTCTGCATCTGTATTAAGTGTTTATGGTGGGATTCCATGTGATAATGCATCCTGCTGCTTTCCTGCATTTCAACAGCTTTACGGCATTCACGACTTCGCCTCTCGTCGGATGGCATGTGTTGACTGGCAATTCTGTGGCTGGGCTGCTGGTGGTATTTCTCGACGAGTTGTAGGTGATGTGGGTGATCGATTGAACAGCGTTTCGAAGTGTTCAGCCCATCGTTTCCTTTCTTTCTCCGCATTGTCGTAACAAGCTTC